AGCGTCACCCCCTCACAGTCACCAAATAACGTTATAGGCAACGGGGAGCAACCAGAGGGGACGGGGTGCAGCGCCCAGCGTCATCCCCTCACAGTCACCAGATAACCTTATAGGCAACGGGGACAGGGAGCAACCAGAGGGGGCGGGGTGCAGCGGCCAGTGACACACCTTCACAGTCACCAGGTAACACTAAGGTGTAGGATGGGAGGAGAAATCAGAGGGGTCAGAAATTTGGCCAGCTGGAGGGATCGACTGGTTACAAATATTGATCAGGGAAATAGATTATTTCATATATATGCATATATCTATATATATAGAAACACCCACACATATATATACACTTTAGCACTTTAAGGTTTGCAACAGTCTTTACAAATTTCTCATTTTTAGCACAGTGCCTGCACGGAATAGGGGCTTAATAATTGCTTATTTATTGACTGACTGACTGAAAATCAGGAAGCCTTGGGTTCCAGGAGGTAGTTCAGTAGAAAGGGATGAGCAATTCTGGGAGTCTGAAGTTCCTCAAAATTCAGAATCAGACCCACAGTATATTAAAAAAAAAATGCCCGAAAACTTGCATGGAGTCTTATTTAATGCTTCTTTTTCTTGAGTAGAAAAAGGGAGGGGGAGCATTATCTTTGAAATTTTCAGCATTTTATTTTAAAAGTCTGGTAAAACTGTTTTTCCTTTCCAAGGACTACATTCCAAAGCTTGGTTTGACAGGGCCATCCCTCCTCTTTAGACTTTCAAAATATACTGGAGAAGCCTCCAGACCATTTCAATTCAAATTCCACCTCTGAATGTTTATTCTGTTTGACCTCTGCAAGTCACTTAAACTTTGTAGACCTCAGTTTCCTGAATTGTAAAAAGAGGGAATTGGACTAGAGATGGGAGGTGCCACCTCTAGATTGGCGATCCTAGTTACACAAGCCTGCTGAGTGGTCGTGGGCAATGTCTCAACCCCTCAGTGTCCCAGGCAATTCTCTAAGACCAGCAAATTACCTGAAGTCTGTGTGGTGGGCGAGGAGTAGGGGTGTGATGGCTGTGAATTATTTGTTGAGGGTGGGATATCTGGGAAAAGGGAGAAGCAAAGGTGGTTACGAAGTACAGTCTCTAGGAGACAATAACTTTTTAACAAAGGCATAATCAATCAAACATTCAGTGCCTACTATATGCCTGGCTGGGGATACAAAAAGAGGCAAAAGACAGTCCCTTTCCTTAAGGAGCTCACAATTATAGCTAATGGCTAACATTTATATAGTAACGGCAGCTAATATGTAGTATATACCACATAGTATAATGTAGTAATAATAGTTAACATTTATATAACCTAACGTACCAAGCACAGTGCTACGTACTTTACAATTATTACCTTATTTGATCCTTACAATAATCCTGCAGGTAGGCGCTATTATTAACCTCATTTTACAGATGAGGAAACTAAAGTAAGTGACTTGCCCAGGGTCACCCAGCTACTAAGTGGCTGAGGCCAAATTTGAATTCAGCTCTTCCCCACTCTAGGCCCAATACTCTATTGACTCTGTCATCTAGCTTTCTGATACTTCAAATGAGGCTACAACAACCATTTACATGGTACTTACTGTATGCCAAGAAGTACTTTACAATTATCTCATTTGATAATGCTTTAAAGCTTTTGAAAACCATAAGATTTGTTATAAATATAAGCTATTAATATTCTTCAAAATTTCTCAATTCCAGAATATTGGAATAACAGCAGTTTGGAATAACAGAATATAATAAGTGCACAAAAGGGCTACAAAATGCTATTTAAGGTCACAGAGAAGAAAAGGAATTTAGAACTGGAACAATTCAATTTGATTCCATTTAATAAACATTTTAAAGCAGGCCTGAATGTGTAAGACACTGTTTATGTGTTAGGTGTTGTGATACAAAGACAAAAAGAAAAATCCTGCCCTGGAGGAGCTTACACTCTCCTCTTCTGGTATATTCAAGTAAACAATCAATTCCGGACCATTTGAGGATACAGTCCCAACAACTGGGGAATTGGGAAAGGCTTCCTGTCAGGGGTGGCACATGGAGATTGGAATTCTGAGAGGCAGAGGGGAAATGGGAACATTTGGGGGTCCATGAGAGATCCCTTGCACCAAGGCACAGGAGGAGGAAATGGCAGTTTGGAGTAACTGGACCTCAACGAGTGTTAAGTGCCTACTGGATGCTAGGTGCTATGCTAAGTAGCAGTGATACAAAGAAAAAAAAAAAGCTGTTCCTATCCTCAAGGAGCTGCTCCCTGGCTCCAGGTTGGCTTAAACATGAGTGTATAAAAGGAAAAGATGTGAAATTCGAGCATTTATTAAGCACCTACTGTTTGACTAGGCATAGCACTAAGCACTGAGAATGGTAACAAATGGTACTTACATTCTCCTGGGAGAAAATAACACGGATGTAGATCAGTATAAACAAAATGGTGAGAAAGTCGTTTGTGACAGTGTGGTTCAATGGAAAGGGACCTGGGTTTGTGCCCTGTGTGCCCATGGGCAAGTCCTTTATTCTCTCTAGTCTTGGTTTATTCTTTTCTGTAAAAGGAGGGGGTTGGACTGCATGGCTTCTCAGGTTTCTTGCATCTTGAAATCTATTTATCCTACGAACTTGTGAACCATGGCAGGGTGGAGGAAACCTGAAAAGGTCTCCTGAGGAGGTGGCACTTGAACTGTGTTTTGTAAGAAGGATGGTGGAAGTGAGAAGGAAGGGTTTTCCAAGCACGGGGTACAGCCTATGCAAAGGGACAGAGAACAGAGACGGATCATCTTTAGGATAAACCAGTTCAACTGGCTCGCTTCTAACCTTGATCAGAAGGGAGGAGTGGGGAAGCAGATCTGCCTGCCACAGGAAGAGAGGATCTTTAGTGTTAATTCATGCGGATGATGTGGGGCTATTCAATAGTGTTGAATAGGACGTCAGTTTTCCCCATGGGTGGGTCAGCCTGAACCCTAATTCTCCTGAATCACACCACTAGCCCCCCTAATTCTTAAGGGAGAGAGTATTTAATAACTGTGCATTCCCTGTGCTAGCCCACTCTATGGATTATTAAAGAAAGCAAACTCAGCAAAATTCCTTAATATCTTCCCACTGCCTGAACGGGGGAAGGCATTTAATGCTAGGTCCCTTTCCTTTGTTTTATGGGCAAGCTTATGAAAGGGCCTGCATGGATGAAAGCAGCACAGGATGGGCAGGCATGGATAGGCTGTGATCTGCATTGTCAGAGGGAACTTGCAAATGAATGAGGTCACAAATCCACTGGAGTCCCCTTTCCTTGGGTAATCCTAAAACAGTTACTATTGTCTTCTGACCGTGCCTCCCCAAACAGTCCTTTCAAAGGAGTTATATTCTCAGAAAACAGCTCCTAAATATGTCCTCTGAGCCTTCTCCCTACAGCATAGTGAGTGGCACATAGTAGGTGCCCAATAAATGCTTATAAAAATGTGACAAGGCAGGCCACTTTGCTCCTAAGTCCCAACTACCGTAGCTCAAGGCCAGACCATTCTTTGGCTCCATCTCTCAGCCCTTTGTCTTCGACCCCAAAAGCTCTTTCTCACTGAACTTCATAGGAGTATCTCATGAGTTTAGAAAGAGGGTAGTGGTGATGAAGACCTATGCCTTCCTATTCTTCACTAGGTATAAAGCTAAAGGAA